ATAGCTAAACAATACCTTAGAATTCCTCAGCAATTATGGCCTAGAATACCTCAGAGGAGCAACATAGAATAGTCCAATGTTGTGATATATAACTAAGGAGCAGCATATGGCAGTGTTTCTAATGTCTTTGTTTGAAATGTAGGATTAGAGTTGAGTTGTATTTTCATATTGATACTAAATCCAGAGGGGTTATTAAATGTAACAGTGCTTCTCCACAGTAGGGTTGCGACTGTTCCAAAGGGTATAAATTGTGCATCAAAGTCTGCCTATATCATTAAAATTATCACAAAGCTCTCTATTTTGCCTTCAGATACATTTATCCATACATATTTTGTTAGGGACAATTTTTGGATTTAACACCATTTGATTTCATTGGATAAGGCCTCTATCTATATATTGTTTGAATTAATTTTATGCATTTTCATGGTGAATTGATTGGAATTAAACTATCATAGGGAAGTAAAAAAGCAGTGTAGAATGGGTTGAAGGATGGGTGTATTTGATAATGGTCTCAAAGTAGTTTCCTTAAAGATGCCGGTATTGCAAGCGATAGCTAAAGAATAGCTTAAAATTCCCCAGAGTAGCTAACTTATCATTTACCAGTATTTTTTGTTTGATATACTCAATTCCAGGGCCGTAGCTAGACCGCTTAATTGGGGGGGTGTATATTCATATATTCATGTTTATATACCATAGGAACAATAGCATACAAAAGAAGTCATTCGGGCATATGACGAATATATGAATATGCACCCCCCCAATTAAGCTTCTAGCTACGGCCCTGCTCAATTCCTAACATGATTGCAAAGTTTTATTTCAAGTTAAGTGTGATTTAGGATTTACTTCACACCAATTTTTAAATTATTTACTCTCAAATTTATCTGATGATGTCTCATCTGATTTTAAGCACCACAAAAATCCTTTTCCAATAATTGATCTGTACTGCAATAATTGATATTTAAAAACATATCAAATAAACACTTGACAAATACAAAACCTAAAACCTTCAAAGCCGTGATGCAATATTATATATAATAATTTCTCTGTATTTCTATATAATCATGTAGGGCCTATAATTCTCATGTATTAATGTCTGCTGTGTATTCTATATTATGACTCATGGATATTTTAGTAAATTTACAATACATTCTTACTTATAACAAAATATCATGTCAGAGTTTCTAGGGTTTCTTGAGAATAACTTTGTTGGAAATATTTCTTATATTAAGAAAAATTTCTTAAGAAAATTTTTCTCATTATGAACATTCTGTAAGAAATTTTGGACTAATTTCAAGAAAATTTTCTTAAACTGAGAAATTAATTGTGTGCAACTTTTCTTATTTTGAGAAAATTTTCTCAAGAAAAAAATTCTTAAGAAAAAAAGTAAGAAAATTTTCTTATTATTCTCCCAAGAAAATTTGAACTCATTTTAAGAAAATTTTCTTAAAATGAGTTTTTTTTTCTTGAAATAAGAAAATGATTTTTTGCTTTCTATATATAGAAAAAATATTTTTACGATTGAAATTGTATAAGAAATAACTTATGCAGTTCTTAAAAAAAATGAACATGAGAGGCAATTCACATCAATGATAAAACTAACATATATATCCTATACCAAAAGACACCAAGTTCTTTCCAGTGAACAGGAACTTGAGATATGAAGTCCACACAGCAAAAAATCATTTTCTTATTTCAAGAAAAAAAAACTCATTTTAAGAAAATTTTCTTAAAATGAGTTCAAATTTTCTTGGGAGAATAATAAGAAAATTTTCTTACTTTTTTTCTTAAGAAATTTTTTCTTAAGAAAATTTTCTTAGAATAAGAAAAATTGCACACAAATAATTTCTCAGTTTAAGAAAATTTTCTTGAAATTAGTCCAAAATTTCTTATAGAATGTTCATATAGAGAAAAATTTTCTTAAGAAATTTGTCTTAAGAAATATTTCCAAGAAAATATTTTCTTATAATAAGAAAAGTTAATTCTCAAGAAACCCTAGAACCTCTGACATGATATTTTGTTATAAGTAAGAATGTAATGTAAATTTACTAAAATATTCATCAGTCATAATATAGAATACACAGCAGACATTAATACATGAGAATTATAGGCCCTACATGATTATATAGAAATACAGAGAAATGCATGATTATATATAATATTGCACTCCGGCTTTGAAGGTTTTGTATTTGTCCAGTGTTTATGGACAGGCGTTCGGAAACTCTATATGAAGTACGTGCTTACCATATCGCAGGCTCTAGAAAAACAACGTGGGTTGTAACGTTTTGCTTTGAAAATTGAGTTGTGGTAAAAGAATTTGGACAATTTGAACGTTTTCTGATGGACATCCTTTGTTATTAGACTGTTTTCGGTATCGTTCTGTTATTTGGCTTGAACTGAAGAAGATTTGACTGTGTTTGAACGGTAAAATAAGCATGATTTCACTGATTTATTTACGTCGTGAAAAGTGCCAAGTGACAGTCATAGTATTTAATTTGTATTGTCTTATTTTCCTTGTTTATGTTCTTTGTAAGGTTAATATGTTTGTTTAGATATTTATGTCCTATTTTACTTTGTAATTTTATATAATTTGTCCTTTTTAGCGTGAAATAAACCGTTCGTTATTCTGTGTGTACTTCATGTAACATTGCACTAATTGCAAAATATCGAAGGCGCTTGGGTTGGTCGTCAACTAAACATTGAAACGAGGCCTAACGCTGTGAACATTTTGGTCCTTCGAGCCGGATGAGAGTTAACTAGACAGAACTGACAAAAGCTAAATAATTTTGGAACAATACAATGTCTGTAGCTGAAAATACAAGATCGCGAAAGGATAAAAGGTCTCAAAAGGATGAAACGGAGCATGAGGAGACAAGGCAAACCTCTCAAGCTGATCAGAACGTCGAGAAGGTAGATAACTCAAGAAATGTTAGGGAAGACCCATCAACCCCCCTCTCCGAAGTAATTAAAGGTATTCGCTTTAAGAGACGTGTTGCGATAGGTGTTATCAACAGATATATTGATGCGACCAACAAAATGATGGAAGAAAAACGTAGCCGAACTGCTATAAAGAGAAATCTACAAGACATCCAAAGTAGATTCAAAGAAGTAGTAGCCTACAATGACCAGCTCGAAAAGTATCTTGAAGGGGATGAAGAAATACTTGCAGACATGTATATCCTCACCGACTTAACAGTGGATGTAAACTGCATAACCGGAATGGTACAGGAACATTTAGAAGATCGAGCCGGTGAGACCTCGACACATACTGGTTCGGAGACTAGTTCGCAGCATGGTAGTCCACCCCCTGAACCCCAAGTGGAAGGCGATGATCAAGATAAAATTGACAAGCAGCAACTGAAAGACCTTGAAGCTGAACAGAAAAGAAAAGATGAAGCAGCCCATCTCTCGGAATTAGCCCACCAAAAAAGAACTGAAGCCGCTCAACTTGAAGCAGAAGCCGAGGAAGCTGAAAGGCAGTCAGAAGCGATTGGAGGTATGTGTGACCAGTCAAGGCCGAAACTGCCCGTAAACCTGCCTACACAACCGGCGATATGTGGTGAAGAAAAGGCTGCGCTTTATGTACAACACCTTGAAAAGGTCAAGACGCAGGGAGCCCAATCTGAGAATCCTAGTACAGAAGATTGGATTGTTGAATTCCGAAAGACACTGGAAGTTGATGTTCAATCAGTGAACCCTGGAAAGCTTCCTGTAAGAGCGGACGTGCCCATTTATTATGGTGATCCATTAAAATGGTTGTCATGGAGTGGTCTCTTCAAAGCGCTTGTACACAACACGAAGATGACCTCGGAGGCCAAGATGGGATTTCTTCACACGAAACTGTCTAAAGAATGTGACCAAGTGATCGCGGGTCTATTCCCAGATGACGAAGGATACGCCGAAGCCCTGATGCTGTTACGGGACAGATATGGGCATCCAACTACGCTACAAGCAGCTCATCTACAAGTACTAAAGTCACTACCCGTGGTTGATTCCAGAGGCTCAGACAATTCAGCACTTAGTTTCCAGTCCTTCGTTGATCAAGCGAGAAGTCACCTTTCTGTACTTAAACGATATAGTAAAGGAGAATCTCCATTCGTGTCATCTCTTATTTATGAACTGACTGATAAGTTACCACAGGAGGATGCCAAAGCCTGGCGGTCAAAAGTTGGTGAAGGTCAAGTGAAGATGACGCTAGAATCATTTAGTACATGGTTGGGAGCAAGAGGAAGGTGCTATTGGAGTGCATTACCCCCACAAAATGCTCGAAGAAAAGAGAATCGGAACAACCGAAATCGCCCCAGGAGATCTCTATTTGGCCAGCAGGTTGCCAAGTGCTCGAAATGTGATGACAAACACAGGACGGAGAACTGTACTAAGTTTAAAGAGCTGTCAGCAGACAACCGTCTCAACCTTGTGAAAGAGAAGCGCCTTTGTTTTGGTTGCTTAGAAGAATCTCACATTTCTCGAAATTGCCCAAAGAAAAAGGAATGCGGCATAGGGAACTGCAAAAAGAAACATCACCCGTTATTACATCAAGAAGAAAATGTACATGCAACCACCACGAAGACACCACAGTCCGGTGTAGCCTTTGGAGTTGTGGAAGTTTCCGTTGTTGGTGCTGGTGGAACTCAGGTGAAAGGAAACCTTTTGTTCGACGATGGTTCAGACACAACGCTGGTATCAGAATCTTTCATGAGGAAGCTGGGATTGCGGGGAAAGAAGACCACGCTCAACATTTCAGGTGTTGGAGGCAAAGAAAGCAAGAGAACATCTTCTCAAGTCACTCTCCGTGTTAAGACACCAGAGGGTGATGCTGAATATGTTAATCTCACAGCCTGGAGCCTTCCAAGATCTGTCAGCCAGTTGGAACAGTTCCATGGCCTGATATTAAAGGAAAGTGGACGCATCTGGAGAACATCAACCTAAAAGCCATTGGCGGTGAAATTGATATCCTGCTTGGCCTGGATCATGCTGATTTGTTGATACCTTTGGATGTAAAGATGGGGAAACCACGAGAACCCGTAGCAAAAAAGACAAGTTTCGGCTGGATGGCAGTTGGACTGGTCAGTGAGTCTCATGGTAACATCCACAACTATCATATTGCTCGGGCTGGGCCAGAATCACTAGATGTTGCCTTTAAGCGGTTCTGGGACAGTGAGTCGTTCGGAACCGGGACAACTAATGCACCACACTACTCCAAGGATGAACAGCGGGCCTTGGATATATTGGAACGCGAGACCAAGAAGTTGGAGAACGGTTATGAGGTCCCATTGTTATGGAAAGAAAACGAGCCACAGCTTCAAAACAATCGAGAAGTCGCGCAAAAGAGACTGGAAGGCTTGCAACGGCGATTTGAGCGAGACCCACAGTATGAGAAGGACTATCGTAAAGCAGTAAGCAAGTATGTAGAAGACGGATATGCGCACAAAGTGGACAAAGAAGACAATCTTGGTGGACCGAACCAGTGGTATCTCCCCCATCACGGAGTGTATAAGAAATCATCCGCCGAGAGAAAGCTACGAGTAGTATTTGATGCCTCAGCTAAGTACAAAGGTAAATGTTTGAACGATGCTCTGCTACCAGGCCCAGTTTTACAGAACGAACTTCCGCAGGTTCTCACAAAGTTTCGAGAAGGTGATGTTGCGTTCGGAGCTGACATTGAGGCAATGTTTAGCCGAGTAAGATTGCAGAAACAAGACGCAAGATACCATCGCTTTCTGTGGAAGGAGGAAAACAGTGATGTTGTGGACACTTATCAGATGGACAGATTAGCATTTGGGGACACTTCGTCGCCATGTGAAGCAATTTACGTCACTCGCCGAGCTGCTAAAGATTTTGGCCAGGGACAAGAAGATGCTGTAAAAGCTATCAACGAGAACTTGTATGTGGATGATTATCTTGACTCTGCAGAGACAACGGAACGAGCAATAGAGAGAGGACAGCAAGTAAAGGAAATCTTAGCGAAGGGTGATTTACATTTAAGGAAGTGGACTTCCAACGTCCCGGAAGTAGTATCTGAGCTCGGAGAAGAAAGAAACAGGATGTCGACGCTGTGACCAATCTTGTCGAACATGAACCAGAAAAGAAAATTCTCGGGGTCAAATGGAACACTGAAACAGACGAACTTACATTCGCAGTTGCACCTGTTGAAGATGTAACCTACACACGACGAGGACTCCTCAGTAAGTTAGCCGGTGTATTTGACCCCCTTGGGTTAGCTTCGCCATTCATCATCAAGGCAAAGATCCTAACACAACAGTTGTGTCTACTCGGCCTCGATTGGGATGACCCCATTCCTAATTCCCACCTGACCAAATGGAAAACTTGGTTGCAAAGACTGCCGGAGCTAGAGCGAGTGAGTGTACCACGATGCATACAACCTAAGAAGAAAAACGTGATTGAATCAGAGCTTCATACGTTTTGTGATGCCTCGGAGGAAGCCTTTGCAACCGTGGTCTACTTGAGAAGCATTTACGACGATGACGACATACGGTGCTCCTTCCTGATGGCCAAAACAAAAGTAGCTCCAAAGAAAGCTTTGAGTGTAGCAAGACTTGAATTGCAAGCTGCTCTTCTAGGTGCCCGCCTGGCAAATTATGTTAAAGAAGCTATGACACGACACATCGATCGCGTCTTCTTTTGGACGGACAGTAAATGTGCTATCGGTTGGATACGGTCTACCGCAGTCTGGTACAAACCATTCATTGCGCACCGAGTTGGTGAGATCCAAACCCTGACAGACCCGAAGTCTTGGCGCCACGTACCTGGCAAACTGAATGTGAGCGATTGTGCTACCCGTTCGAGATTCGATGAGCGATCGGAATTGATCCCTGTTCGTTGGTTCACAGCTCCAGATTTCCTTTATCAAGGTGAAGATAATTGGCCAAAGGAAATTCCTGTTGAGGAACTACAGCAACACGAAGAAATCAAACCAAGCAAAGTATTCGTTGCCAAATCCAATCCTGAGCGTGTTCCCGTCTATGCTGACGTCGATTTAGAACGACTTTCTTCTTTGTGGAAAGCACAGCGAGTGGCAGCACAAGTTCATCGCTTTTTCAATATATGTAAAGGAAAGAAACAGCAGAGTGGTGTCCTAACTGTAGAGGAATTACGAGTCGGACTGACCGCCCTAGTACGGCAATGTCAACGAGAAGCATTCCCCGACGAGCTCCAATCCTTGAAAAGAACCAAAAGTGTCAGCAAACGATCGAAGTTGTTATCATTTACTCCCTACCTTGACGAAAGTAACGTAATCCGCGTTGGAGGAAGACTTGACCGTGCTCGATTACCCTACGAAATACGACACCCGATCCTCTTGCCTCAGAAACACCGTTTGACCGAACTGATTGTCCAGAGCTATCATCGTTCAGAAAACCACGGAGGAACTGATCACGTTTTGGCTGCAGTTCGTCAAAAGTTCTGGATAATTCGTGGACGACAGGAAGTCAAGAGTTTCAAAAGAAAGTGCACCGAGTGTAAGAAAGAACGAGCGAAGCCTGGCAGTCAGCTTCTAAGTGAACTTCCTATTGAAAGAATAACTGCCATGCAACCAGCATTTTACCATACTTCTGTGGACTATTTCGGGCCAATCGAAGTTAAGTTGACTCGCAACACGACGGCGAAAAGATACGGCGCCCTGTTTACATGCATGACGACCCGATGTGTTCATTTGGAAGTCGCAGAATCGTTGTCCACCCCTGATTTTCTGCAAGTCCTTCATAATATGATTGCGAGACGCGGAGAGCCAAGAACCATCTACAGTGACAATGGCACAAACTTCGTCGGCGCAGTATCTGAATTGAAATCGCTGGTCAGAGAATTGAATCATAGTGAAGAACTCCAAAACCGCCTAGCTAGAATTGGAGAAGGGATCACCTGGAAGTTTCAGCCACCCGCAAGTCCTCACTGGGGAGGAGTACACGAGAGTTTAGTTAAGTCAGTCAAGACAGCACTTAACCGTACCCTGAATCCAAAAGGAGGACCGAAGATAAGTAACCCTACAGATTTGCAGTTGTCTGCCCTATTTGCGGAAGTCGAGCGATTCGTCAATTCACGACCGATAACCTACGTCAGCAACGACCCTGAAGACATAGAGGCTTTGACACCTTACCACTTTTGGTTACACCGACGCTCGCCAGTTGTCCCACTCGGAGAGTATAGCCGACCAAACTTGCAAGATCGTTTCAAACGGACTCAGCACTTAGCAAATCTCGTGTGGCAGCAGTGGGTGAAGCTCTACCTACCTAACCTCATCTCTCGGAAGAAGTGGCGTAAAGAGGAAAGGAACATTTCAGTTAATGACGTTGTTCTTATAGCCGATCCGGGTGTTTTACGTGGTGAGTGGAAGTTAGGACGAGTCGTTGAAACATGCCCTGGAAAAGACGGACGAGTTCGAGCTGCTAAAGTGAAGACCAACAATGGCGTTTACACTAGACCTGTTACAAAATTATGTCTTCTCGAACAGGACTGCGGGTACGATCGTCGCCCCGAAGAAATCGAGACGAACGATGGGGAGGAGTGATGGACAGGCGTTCGGAAACTCTATATGAAGTACGTGCTTACCATATCGCAGGCTCTAGAAAAACAACGTGGGTTGTAACGTTTTGCTTTGAAAATTGAGTTGTGGTAAAAGAATTTGGACAATTTGAACGTTTTCTGATGGACATCCTTTGTTATTAGACTGTTTTCGGTATCGTTCTGTTATTTGGCTTGAACTGAAGAAGATTTGACTGTGTTTGAACGGTAAAATAAGCATGATTTCACTGATTTATTTACGTCGTGAAAAGTGCCAAGTGACAGTCATAGTATTTAATTTGTATTGTCTTATTTTCCTTGTTTATGTTCTTTGTAAGGTTAATATGTTTGTTTAGATATTTATGTCCTATTTTACTTTGTAATTTTATAAATATTTGTCCTTTTTAGCGTGAAAATAAAACCGTTCGTTATTCTGTGTGTACTTCATGTAACATTGCACATAATTGCAAAATATCGAAGGCGCTTGGGTTGGTCGTCAACTAAACATTGAAACGAGGCCTAACGCGTGAACAGTTTATTTGACATGTTTCCAAATATCAATTATTGCAGTACAAATCAATTATTGCAAAAGGATTTTTGTGGTCCTTAAAATCAGACGAGACATCATCAGATAAATTTGAGAGTAAATAATTTAAAAATTGGTGTGAAGTAAATCCTAAGTTCACACTTAACTTAAAATAAAACTTTGCAATCATGTTAGGAATTGAGTACATCAAACAAAAAATACTGGTAAATAATAATTTAGCTACTCTGGGGAATTTTAAGCTATTCTTTAGCTATCGCTTGCAATACCGGCATCTTTAAGAAAACTACTTTAAGACCATTATCAAATATGCCCATTCTTAAACCCATTCTACACTGCTTTTCTACCTCCCTATGATAGTTTAAATTCCAATCAATTTACCATGAAAATACATGTAATTAATTCAAACAATATATAGATAGAGGCCTTATCCAATGAAATCAAATGGTGTTAAATCCAAAAATTGTCCCTAACAAAATATGGATGGATAAATGTATCTGAAGGCAAAATAGACAGACTCTGATGCACAATTTATACCCTTTGGAACATTCTCAACCCTACTGTGGAGAAGCACTGTTAAATTAGTTAACCCCTCTGGATTTAGTAATTAGTATCAATCTGAAAATACAACTCAACTCCTATCCTTCATTTCAAACAAAGACATTAGAAACACTGCCATATGCTGCTCCTTAGTTATATATATCACAACATTGGACTATTCTATTTTGCTCCTCTGAGGTATTCTAGGCCATAATTGCTGAGGAATTCTAAGGTATTTTTTAGCTATTCCTGCTATATTAGTGCTATAGCCAACTATTTAACTATATAAACAGATAATAACATGGAAAATCATAGCGCAAATCATTGAACGATGAAAATACAATTCTTGATCTATAATAGGGTGGAATAAAGACTAACGAAGGCTAGCAAATAAAGGCTTATACGTTGTATATAATAACACACTCGATCAGCATGTTGGCATATGACATCATGAAACATCAACTCACCTTATGAAATACCACAAATTTGCGCCGATATAGTGTATATTTTCTCACATCCTAAACGTCCATATCTTTATCGGTAATATATAAAGTTAATAACAAGATACAAATGCCATATTCGCCGTAAAAAACAATATTTCTTTACTATGCGTTAATAGCGTTAAAGGTTGTTTCGCTAAGTATTCAAATTTCCCTCGTGGTCTACGCCTGAAAGGCATAATGGGATAAATGGAATAATCAGGCTCTGCGTCAGGCTGGACCATATAATTATAAACAATTATTGAATGAGGTTGAGCAGGATATTACGAATTATTAAGGCCGAGGTTTGTGTTATCTGCCGAAGCCGAAGGCTGAGGCGGATAACACAAACCGAGGCCTTGATAATTCCTCATATCCTGCGAGAACCGAATTCAATAATTGTTTTATTATTTATTTGCAAAAATTTACCTTTTCTTTGATTTAGCCATTCGTATCTTCCCGCTTTTAGGTTTTGGCACAAGCCGCATAAATTAGCGTGACGTCATACCGTGCAATAATTTTTTTCATATCTGACGAAGTGACGTCAAACGTGCAATAATTTTTTTCATATCCGACGAAGTGACGTCACTGTCCAAATTTGGGCAGCTGCCAGCGGATATGACGATTTCGCCAACAGCTGCTGGCCAATCAAAACTCTTGACTCATTTTCAATAAATAATAATAAGTATTAACTTGGAATGCTTTGAATTCTCTCACGCTGGATTTCCGTAAATGAAAACAGCATTTTGCAAACACTGATTATATTATGACTTTGTTCTTTTTTAAGGGTTCTTGACCGAATATGTCACGCCATGCTTGTAAAGTGCAAGTACGAAAGCTTCATTGTTGACTCATACGGATGTAGTTAGCCAGCGCTAAATTAATAAAATCATCTAATGATCGGAACTAAAAACAATAAAATATGAACCATATATAACTTTTTGAAATCAACAAACTTCAATAATAAGGAACATTTGAAACACAATTAATTTTGAAGTTTACTCTTAGCTGAAATTCTTCACATTTAATGCGAAGAGCATTTTCTTAGTTTAAGAATATATATTTCTTATAACAAGAAATTGATATCTCAATATTTTCTTAAGAAAACAATTTCTCATTTTAAGAAAAACATTTTCTTATGATAAGAAAGTGATATCTCTGATATTTTCTCGAGAAATAATTTTCTTATTTCAAGAAAATGTTTTCTCAAATTAAGAAGAAAAAAATCTTAAGAAAATATTTTCTCAAAATGAGAACATTATTTCTTGAAACAAGTAAATATTTTCTTAAATTAAGAAAATTCAATTTCTTAAGAAATTCATTTTTTGCTGTGCAGAAGATGTCCAGAGTTGAAGATACTGTATAGTGTGCTGGTGCATGCGTAATTATTTATCATTAAATACATGGACACGCTGTGAAAAGGCTCGAAAAAATATATGTTTTTATATGACATTGCTTTGGCACACTTAAACTATGTTCAAAGAAAAATTTAAACCTTTCAACCGCGCTGGGATGCAAATACAAACGCGTTTAGAGTTTTCGTGATAAAAATGCAAATGCAAACAAATGCAAACAACATCAACGGTAGAATATCGCCCGTCGTATAGTCTAAACCACACATCCCTTGACAAGCAGAATAAAACTTATGTTGCCAATGATTCAATATTATATATATTATATATATATATATATATATATATATTGAATCCCATTTTTTTAAACATATATATATAAAATATATAAATATATATATATATATATATATATATATATATATATATATATATATATATATATATATATACACGTATAAGTAAAATCCTACATAGACTACTCTCGAGCTATCAGATTCAGCTATAATGAATGTCCTTTTTAGGGGTAATGTGACAATCCCATGGGTGTAGGTTCTATTTCCGCGAAAGGGTCTTTAAGTTGCACTAGCTTTTCGCCATGTTCCTGGTTACTCTGGTTAGGTCTTAAGAATCCTATGAATAATTTTTCTTTCGTTGTCCTAAAAAACCATCAACATGAGTGCTCGAGGCAATCCACACCAATGACAAAAACTCACATATATCCTAGACTAAGAGATATGAAGCCCATGCAGAAGATGTCCAGACTCCAGAGTTGAAGATCCTGTATAGTGTGCGCTTACTTATGGACACGCTGTAAAGAGTGAGAGAGCTCGAAAAAATATATGTTTTTATATGACGTTGCTTTGGTAACACACTTCAATTATGTTCAAAGAAAAATTTGGACTTTTAAACCGTGCTGGGATACAGATACAAACGCGTTTAGAGTTTTCGTGATAAAAGAAACAATAAAGAAGCAGGCAAGATGCAATTAAATATTGCTTGAAGAATTATTGCCACATGCGTATATTGTAAATTACTATATTAAAGCTGATGAATCCGTATCTTGGCCTTTTATAATGTTTTTTCAAAGCAATAGGTCCACATCATTCGCTGATAAAACAATTTCTATATTTCAATGGCAAACAAATGCAAACAACATCAACAGTAAAATATCGCCTGTCGTAGACTAAACTCGACATCCCTTGACAAACAGAATAAAACTTATAGGTTGCCAATAATTTACGGAGCTTTTAGATCTAAGACACAACCTACAATTTTTTTCAACTATATACGTGCAGAAATATATTTTATTAACATTGCTTAGACACGTCCTTAATTTAGAGGGAAAGTGTTTTAATAATTAATATTAATTGTAGGAGTTTTTATGACATTGCTTTGGTAACGCACTTAAACCGTTTGCAAAGTAAAATGCAAACGTTCTAACCGCCATACGAATTCAAATGCATGCTTAATTCTTGCAGTAAACATAAAACATGAAATAGTGTTATGAATTATTTAGTTTTGTATAGCAAAAACTAAAATCGGTAGCACTTAAACCGTTTGCAAAGTAAAATGCAAATGTTCTAACCTCCATACGAATACAAATGCATGCTTAATTCTTGCAGTAAACATAAAAAATGAAATAGTAATATGAAATATTTAGTTTTGTATATAGCAAAAACTAAAATAGGTAGAATGTGTTTATAACAATGTAAAAATAAATGAAAATATTAAAAAATTGACACCTGCATGTCGCAAAGAAATTCATCCTGTTTGCTTATCCCCGCGCCGTGCGAGGGTACTAATTCCGCTGGGAGATTTATTACACCCGGGTATTGTGACAGAACATAGCGGAATCCAAAGTTGCTCAAATTCTATGTCGTGGACCGTGGACAAAGAGTAGATATTATAAAGAGGTTTCACTCTGGCGAAAATCGGTCACACGCATAGCTGAGCCACACTACGCATGCGTAATATTCCAGCCAGTACCTTTGTGGTTTTTAATGAGGAAAACACCAATTTTTATCATAAAAACAACGATTTTGAAAAAACTATCCAAGCAATTTGCTGTTTTGTTACAAGTTCAAAAGAATGCTGTCGAGTTTCTTTTATAGGTGATATATGTATAATGATATGTCTTCCAAAATGCGATATCTGCTATTTGGGATGTCTATACACCAGGTGTATTTCTGAGTTAACTATATACGTGCAGCAATATATTTTATTAACATTGCTTAGACACGTCCTTAATTTAGAGTGAAAGCGTTTTAACAATTAATATTAATTGTAGGAGTTTTTATGACATTGCTTTGGTAACGCACTTAGACCGTTTGCAAAGTAAAATGCAAATGTTTTAACCGCCAGCATACGAATACAAATGCATGTTTAATTCTTGCAGTAAACATAAAACATGAAATAGTAATTAGAATTATTTAGTTTTGTATAGCAAAATCTAAAATAGGTAGAACGTGTTCTGAGTATTTCTGAGTTAACTATATACGTGCAGCAATATATTTTATTAACATTGCTTAGACACGTCCTTAATTTAGAGTGAAAGCGTTTTAATAATTAATATTAATTGTGTAGGAGTTTTTATGCATGACATTG